CGCCCAAACACCCTCGCTACGCCTCTGCTTTAGATAACTTTAAAATTGATTAAAATGCAGTGCCTCTTATAAATGTTAATCTAGGCCTAAATCCTTTTCGACTTTCTCTTTAACAATTGTTATATAATTATTTTTTTTTACCCGCAAAACGATGTCACAAAGGTGACAAGTTTCAACAAAATACAAACGATCTCGATTCGTTGATAATCGATGGTGTCACGTGCACTTACATTGTGCCCTTATAATATGCACTTATGGTATGCGCACTGAAAGATCTTAAATTGTGTAACACATTATCACTTTTTCAAAAGTTCTCAATTTTATCTATAGCTCATCTTGGGGGAAATGGTTATGATAGAACTTGTTATGCACGGAGACGCCAAAAGAAATGCCCATTAGTACTCAACATTGCGTCATTAAAAAGTACACTCGAGATCAAATCAAGTCCACCACCCATAAACAAAACAAATTGGATCCCTTGTCAGCTCATTTGTCTTTAGCATCGGACAGCGCATCAAAAATAATTTATAATGCATTGAACATTTTGGGAGTGCACGGGAGACTTCTGAGATAATGAAATGGTCATTATGAACAACATGACGTCCGGTAGACAAGTGTCTAGATCTTTTAAGTGACGCGAAAAGGATGATACAGAAAAGATTGCTCGACCAAAGACACACAGTTAAAGACGACGCCCTTCAGAGCAGTGGAGCCGCTAGAGTTTGTGACGCCCGGGGCGGACCTTGATTGTGCCACCCCTGACTAATGACAACCTCAACGCATGCAGAATCCATATTTTTTAAAAAAATGATCCATTTAATGAAAATGAAGTCGTATCCGGAAATTCGATCGAAAGAAATTTCGTCGACGGTAAATTGATCGACGGTAATTTGATCGAACGGAAATATGGTCGAATCTTTTTTTTCTCTCCGTTTTTACGTTTAAATTTTGCTTCAAATGTCTTTTTGAACGCATTATTTTGTTTTACTATATAGTATAGTGCGTTCAAAAAGAAATTTGACGAAAATCTTAACTTAACGTGTGAACTGAAAAAAAGATTCGACCAAATTTCCGGTCGATCAAATTACCGTCGATCAATTTACCGTCCACGAAATTTCTTTCGATCAAATTTCCGGTAACCAAATGAAGGGGACTGCTCAGGGCGCCCTAAATGAGTAACCCTGAAGCGAATCGGCCCCCTTGTCCCACACACCCCCACCCCTCTTTCTACGCCCAGCGGTTCAGGGACACCTTTAATAATAATCCCAACTCTTTTGCGGAACCGCTGACAAATTTAAAAAAAACAAAACAACAACAACAACACACACAACAGATTTACCCAGTGGTATCAGTCGTGTCGATTCACATCTTTCCTCTTTTGCTTCTGAAAAAAAAATGAACAAGTAAATTTCACCTACCTGTTATATCCTCGGCGCGAATTGGTATTGATTTTTGGCCTAGAATTATAATACTCAGTGTCCAACGTGCGTGTCTTCCTTACGTCGGTGGAGCCGAAGCGGCAATATAGTAGCATCGGTGTAACACAACTACGACAGCTATAGATCAGTTACACTTGTTAACAAAAGTAGCTGTACGGAGCCATCCTGATAGGAAATGGAGGAGGACTTCGGTCGTCATTTGAGGCTTTTTAGCACCGAGCTTGAGGTCAGGTGTTGGGAAATACTCTGGCAATAATTTGTGTTCGGATTGCTGCCAGGAAAAAAAAGACTGTTCCCAGCGTCATAACAGAACAGTAATGAAAAAAAAAAATATATAGCCCAAATTCTGAAATGAGGGCTTACTATGATGCGATTGGCTGCATTCCTGGGGAAACACCAACTCAGACGGATGATTGGAAAGGTCGCTGGAGATTCCTCGGTGACGCAATACCGATTGTAACAGTCCGGTTACCTGGTATGATATAGATTTATATATAAACAACCCCCCAAAAAATATAGCAGGGTTAGTGAAGAGATTAAAGCGAATTGTTAGATCCAATGAACAATCTGACAATGTTTGTTCGATGCGCCCAATATAATGGCACGCTAATGTGGAGATCTGCACCATAGTGTGTTTAACAACGCAGCGGAAACCTGTTCAAGAAATAGGGTGCGATTGTTTTACATTTTCACTTTTATCATAAGGATTGTAATGAAATAACCCCTTAAAAACAAAGTTAATTTTAAGCATTATATATATATATATATATATATTTTATTTTGTGTGTGCTTCACATCAAATAAGATAAGTGCAGCTTGCATACGGGCCTTACGACTGTGTTTGAGGGATGCTGATCCGGCCCCGACAGTGTCTGCGGGCACAGATGCGGGCCCCCTGTTTAAAAAGTTTGAGGACCCATGGAATAGGACCTTCGATGAAGCTCGGTACTGGTGTGACCGGGTATATTTCACAGATATTCGGATGTATTCGATGCTAAAGATCATCATGTGAAATGAAAGCAGATGAATGTTGCGTGAAGTTACGTTCCGTTAATTTGATTCCTGATTGAAGATGTAATCCGAAAATACGTGGACAGAACCAGTAAAATATCTGGTCCATTCTATTCCAGTTGGGAAAGGGAATTTATTAAATGAAGATTTTCTCTTTTCTTTTTCTCTGAAAGAGTGGATTTTCTTCTGATGCATGTATAATTACTTTGAGCGTCCACCCAGCTGGTCGATTTGGCAGCTCGAGGGACTTTTCATTAGTAATTTCTTTTTATAACGCATGAAGCAATTTGATTACTCAAACTGATCTAACCTGATGGTGGTTTCCTAAGGACTCAGTAATGTTTCCAAAAACTTTAAACATTTTAGCCAGCACTTCCTGTCTCTTTGATAATTCTTTATTTCATAAACTTTGAGAAAATGATATTGAGGAGTATTTGTTTAATGACCAAATGCATCCCAAGAAAAACATCACATCAAAAAATAGAAGTATCATAACACCAATCACCGTGGTCACACATATGACCCCCCCCCCCCGGCCGAACCACGGGCTAAAGTTGTAAGCATCAGATGTAACTTTAATTCAATGGCATCTGTCCATCACACAACACCTGGCACCTTTCCATCACACAACAACTGTCATTTGTCCATCACACAACACCTGTCATCTTTCCATCACACAACACCTGTCATCTTTCCATCACACAACACCTGTCCATCACACAACACCTGTCCATCACACAACACCTGTCATCTTTCCATCACACAACACCTGTCCATCACACAACACCTGTCCATCACACAACACCTGTCCATCACACAACACCTGTCATCTGTCCATCACACAACACCTGTCATCTTTCCATCACACAACACCTGTCCATCACACAACACCTGTCCATCACACAACACCTGTCCATCACACAACACCTGTCCATCACACAACACCTGTCCATCACACAACACCTGTCCATCACACAACACCTGTCATTAAAGATACACGTGGAGTTGAATTTCAAAGTCAAGGTCAGTCAAAATGTTTAACTCAGAGTAAATTTATGGAGGGAGTAATTCACATCAAGACAAAAGTTTAAACTGGACTGTTAAGTCATGCAGTCTACTAGACTGTTAAGTCATGGAGTCTACTGGCCTGTTAAGTCATGGAGCCTACTGGCTTGTTAAGTCATGGAGTCAACTGGACCTTTAAGTCATGGAGTCTAATCTTTCATTAGGTCATGGAGTCTACTGGACTGTCAGAGATATTTTCAAATAAATTTCACAGACATCGAAAAACCATATAAGAAAGAAAAGAATTACTAGAAATTTTTCTTTTATTGGCATGACTGATGTTATGTGAGCCGGGGGGGGGGGGGTTGTACCTGCAACCAGACCATCCATTTCTCATTCTCCAAATATGATAGTATCCAACAAAGTCATTAAGGGAAAAAAAAACATTAGTTACATTAAATGACTAGGGTAATAATGTCTTGAATGAAAATGTTTTAAGATCACAGTTACATTGGGAAAAAAACCAGACACACATCAAATACATGGGAGTGTTAACACACCTTTTCAGATTAAAAAAATAAATACTTCAAAAAAGAAACTATTAATTTTCATTTCTGTAGGACACTAAAATTATTGTATGATGAATAAAATGTATAATAAGTGTATAAAAAGACACTACAGCCTTGACTCCAAGGACCTCGTTAATATTACAATTTTGAAAATTGGGGCAGGATCCATGTGTGACGCCAATTTTAAATTTAGATTCTATGTCTGAGGAGAATGGCACAATTGATCCAAGTTTTTAATACAGTTTTCACGCTAAAAGTATAAGGTGGTCACAATACAGAATCAAACCTGGTGGGCGCAGCAGTGCGTGCAGCGACTTAAGGCTAGTGTACACACTTTGGACTGGAAACGTTCTTACTTCATTTAAAGCACAACATTGTCACCAGCTGCCCAATTTTATTACGTCATCTTAAAATAGTTATATCAGGAATATTTAACAAATCACCACACCATGCACTCACCACACCATGCACTCACCACACCATGCACTCACCACACCATGCACATATCAAAAGGATTTCAGGGTTGCACCACTCCTCATAAAATGCACACAATAAGCAGTTATTGCACCACACTTTCAAACCTCTCCGGACCCAGGGGCCAATCAATACTCTCCTGCGCTTGGAACCTCCGGAAGATGTCCCCCGTGGCTCTTATCATTCATTCAAATTCATCATGGTATTTTAAATGCATACATGTTAAATGACTTTTTTTAATTATTTTTTTAAAACTCTATATCTGTTTAAATAATTCTTTGCAAAAATACAATTCACCATACCCGCACCATAACATATGCGACAAAACAAATCATTATATGAAGACATATACCAGACAGAGAGTTCTACTGCCGCTTATCAGCTTTCAAATACAACCAAACAACAATTGCCTCATTTCATAAACTAATCTGACATGTTCCCAATTAAATAATGTCTATTAAATAAAAGAACTAAAATTATTTACTCAATCACCTGACACGCAGCTTTTTATACACACCACACGTCTGGTGTTAATTTTAAAATAATTCAAGACAATCACCACCACACCAGCAGACTACGTGCCACTAGGAGGAGAACTCCTCAATAACATACTGAATCTTTGTAATAACTTTCTGTATGTCATCATCGTTGACGTCATTGTGGGTGACATAGCGAACTTTAGTGCTGGAAAAGGGCATCATCAAAACTGAGATGGACTGCTTTAAGGAATTTCTTTCTTTGTCTGAAATCTATTTTTTGTAAAAAGGAAGTAAATAAATTTTATTGTGAATAAACCTATAAAATAGACACAAGCTCTAAGACATTTTGCTTTGTCAAAAAATGTTAAAAAATACCATAATGATAACTACAGTACTGTAAGTATAACATGTATAGCTGTTACATAAATACCTCCTTCATCCTGAGAGAAAACTGAGAAGCTGAGATTCTCCCAAGCATTTCTATCATAACGATGTTGGAATGGACGCCCGCCAAGTCGACGCTGCACACAGAGTTGCCTTTCATACCATCAATACCTAGATTGAAGGGTACGAATAGATTTATTGGAGTGTTTTCATGAAACGATTTAAATGAACTGATGAAATGTATATTTCGTTATTAATTTCTTTATAACGCATGAAGCAAATTGATGTCTCAAAAAGATGGTGGTCACCTAAGACCTCAGAAATGTGTCCAAAAGCTTTTCACATTTTGGCCAGCCAGTTGCTGTATCCTTGGTTATTCTTTATTTCATAAACATTGAAAAATGATTTTGGAGGGTACCTTTTTTTCTTTTTTTAATGACCAAATACACAACAATGCATCTCAAGAAAAACATACAATTTAGATGTAAAAACCGTAAAAGCATCAATTATCACACCATCGCCATGGTCACGCACATGCAGCACTAAACTTAACTGTGTGTAATGTTTCATCCATGGAGTAACTATTAATCTTGTGCATATTGTAAATTATTCTGCATTTAGTTGAACCAAAATGTAGTAATTTAAAAAATGTATAGTATAATAATAATTGTCAGCTCTAACATCCGTACTCCATACCAAAAATAAAAAAAACATTATTAGAAATTAATTGCTGATTAATCATTGTTTAAATTTTCTTTTCAGATGTTATTTTTCCATGTCTGTTCAAAACTGATTTTTTTTGAAAATCGATTAAAAAGTTCAATGCATTTTTGTATTGAGTGCCAAGATGAGCACTTAACACATTGCCAATGAACCAATAGAAAGAAGGTATGTTAATTTACATTTGTTTTTTTAAATTTAATCAATGTATGTTAATTTATTTTTTAAGTTCTTGATTATGTTTGTTAAATTGTATGCACAGCGTGGGGAGCCCAGCCCTAGGCTGGGGTACCACACTATATAAAACCACTTATAATAATAATAATAATTTTTGCATTGTAAGGAATTCATGCATTATAAAAACCAAACAAGATTGGCCAACACTGATGCATCCTCATAGAGTCTACTCTTTGTGTATTTCTAGCTCACTCTAAACTGAGGAACAAAAATAATGTTCTTTTTTTTTTTTAAATAAGTTTGTTTTTTTTAACCTTCCAAAGAATGATCTACCTATCTAAGGGGGGGCAGGGGGGGGGGCGGGACTTATCTTCAAAATTTACTCTTTAACTTACCCTGGGCAATCCTGTATGCTTTATCATGGTCTTCCCAAAGTCTTGGCACCATGTCCTCAAGGGCAACTAACATGGGGGCAGCTATGACACCGGCTTGTCTCAACCCACCACCAAGAGCNGGGGGGGGGGGGGGGGGCGGAGGGGTGTATCACTAAAAACACTTATATTGCAACATTATACCTGTATTAAAACATTTTTAAAAAAATGTATTTTCATATGTTTTCCCAAAACAAATACCGGGAAAGGGGAAGGGGCCAGACGACATCCCTTATTGCCTCAAAAATGCAACAATGTATTGCCTGTCAGTTGAAGTCTTAAATAAATTTCTTTGGGACTACATATGGATGTCTCAAAGTAGGATATAATGCAGCCTAACTTACAAGTCTATGAAGTCTTAAATAAATTTCTTTGGGACTACATATGGATGTCTCAAAGAAGGACATAATGCAGCCTAACTTACAAGTCTATGAAGTCTTAAATAAATTTCTTTGGGAGACCATATGGATGTCTCAAAGTAGGACATAATGCAGCCTAACTTACAAGTCTATGAAGTCTTAAATAAATTTCTTTGGGACTACATATGGATGTCTCAAAGTAGGACATAATGCAGCCTAACTTACAAGTCTATGAAGTCTTTGGAACCAGCCATTATTGAACCCAGAGGACAACATAAACCCTGATGAGAAAAAAAATCATTGGATTTAATTATTCTTTAGAAGTGGGGAGCTCTTCTTTTTTTTTTAAGACCGTCATCCATATCCAAATTTATCAAACCCGATAAACTTTATTGAACACAAAGCGGCCCAAATCAAGCCCACAAACCTATTGGTTCTACTTAGTATGGAAGAGGCTGGTGCATCTCAGTTGCCTTAACAAAAGGTCTAGAAATAATTTTTATTTTATTTTGAGGTTTTGAAAATTGAAGATTGGAAGCTGAAAGTAACTATTAGTTATTTTAAAGAGAAATGAAAGTTGAGTTGACAGACTTGAAAATTACTATATACCGGTATGTTTATTTTTTTTTAAAGTTAACTTACTTTACTAAAAGCGACTGAAACTGAATCTGCATGTTGTGTAATCTCTGACGGTGGCACTTTTAAAACAGTGGCGGCATTGAACAAGCGAGCACCATCTAAGTGTACAACAAGGCCATGTTTCTTGGCAAGGTCCTTGACCTTTAACACAAACACACAAAAACAAGATTTTCAGGTGAGTAAATATTTTTTTTTTCACATTTGAATGACAGCTGCTAGTATCACTAGTATTATATTAATTTTAGAAATGTAATTATTTCCATTTCTTGAATAAGTTTTTGAATTCCTTACAACTTTATGACAATAATATTCAAAACTATGGGGGGGGGGTGGGGGGGGGGGGTTTACCTTCTTTACATAATCCATTGTCAAGACTTTACCGCCGCATCTGTTATGTGTGTTTTCAAGGCAAATTGCTTTCGTCCATGGCTGATGCACATCATCAACGGGTCGAATTTTAGCTTCAATCTCTTCAAGGTCCATAGAGCCATCTGGTAGATTTCTTATACTTCTTCCTTGAATGCCACCCAACTGAAAATTAGTATTCATATTAATAAGCTGCTCAAGATATTTTGATAAAAATTTTTACAGCTTTTTATTTCCCTTCTGCCTAATGCAGAGTTTTCCAAAATGCGTGTTGCGACACAATAGTGCATCGCCTACAGATTTTAGGCTTGTCTTGCAAAAATAACCCATTCCAACATTCACACATTTTTAAGACACTAAGATCGGACTGTGGAAGGTTTACGCTTTTCCCCTTAATAGAAACACTACATTTATTTGTTTTGTTTATGAATTGCCAAATTTATTTTAATAGTAAAGCCGTAATTTCTCTTCTCAAATTCAGTCCTTTCTCTCATTTGGTTTCATATTATCTTAAATTTTAATCTGGCATGTAGCATCAGTTTCCAAGACTTCAAGTGGGACTGCGTCGTCAGAATTGTTTTGACATGTTATTCCTGCTGGCCATGCTTTTTAAAGACTTTGGTGTCTCGATAATGCTGAAGCTTACTTTTTTTAAATATAGCATTGTATTCAAACAGGTTTTGAATTATGTGTACATTGAATTTGAATAAGTTTCTAATTAAGAAAAGAAAAACAGGTGAAGATTAATTTTTTTGAAAAACAACAATCCCCAACTAACCTGGGCAAGTCCTGCTAGTTCATACATATGCATGTGAGAATCTTCTCCCAGTATGACCTCTTGAAATCTTCCACTGCAATGAACAAGGACTGTAAATAAATAGCACAAAGTTTTCAAGGATATTTTTGGGGGGGCAGAAGACTGTGATTTTGTCAAATTATGCCATCCAATATCAAAATGTCCTAATGGCTTTAGGAAAAATTAATTAAAATATACTCCACGTACAGTAAAGTTCTTCACATTTTACCTGAGGCAGTATTTGCCATTGTACATGTTGGAACAAGCAAAGAGGCCTCTTTTCCTAAAACACTGGCACAGACATCTTGGAGCTCTAAAAATATTTATATATTGCATGTAAAAATGTATTTAAGTCATTTCAGCACATTGAAAAAATTATTTTTAAAAATCTTTCTGTGCCTTTATTTATCTAATGGTAATGTAAAATCAACTTTATAATGCTGAAATTAGATGTGAAGAAAAAATATTTGAACTTTTTAAAGCTTTAAGTGCTAATAAATAAGGATGAAGTGAAGACTATTCAGTATGATATTAGAAAGGTAAGTAAATGTTTTTTTAAAATTTCACTTTTATAGTTGAGGTGACATTTAAAAAAAAGTTATTTAGATTCATACCATTTACTGTTGGGTCTTCTCCAAATACATCATCTCCAACAACTGCATTTTTCATGGCTTCCCTCATCTTTTGGGTAGGCTTTGTAAGTGTATCACTGCGAAGATCAATAACAGAGACACTTGATGATGATAAACATCTAATTGCATTCAGTGTTCTGCATGAAGGAATCCACTTTGGTTCTGGTAATTGACACACACCTTGCATAAATCTAATTGAAAGATGTCTTAATCCATGTTGTGGGGTCATTGTTACTGCTATTTGTTACACTGCAAATATAGAATGAAAAATATACACAGTTGTGGATATAAATTTAATTTTTTTTTTTACACCGTAAGTGTGATGTTTAAAAGCTTCTTCCCCCTCCCCCTTTTTTTTCCCCCATTCTTAGATTCAGCACACACAAAATTGAATATTATATTTATTTAAATTTAACTGTTGAAGATCATAAAAATTCTTCAGTCCAAAAAAATCTGGATCCCGTGACATGAATTTAAATTGTTATTTAATTTTAATGATGTTTCTGGACCTAGATTCCTAGATTAATGAAATTTTCAGCAGATGCATTTCATTAGACTTAGACGTGAGACATTAGAAAAATAATTTCACCATTGAGCAGCGACCAATCAGGACATCAGCTCATGATCATAAATAAAATTGACCATGAAAACATATCAGATGATATCATATTGTCTTTACGTTGATTTTAAAAACGTTTCCTTCTACAGGATACTTGAAGATGACCATTTAAAGCATATCATTATTAATATATATTATATTAATTAGCCAAACATTTTGGTAACTAAATCTAATTTATTTTCAGATGTTACATTATAACCTATTCTTTTTTTATAATTATAGTGTATAATAGTCATAGTATTAGTAGTAATAGTATACTGAGTTATCGATAAATCATTTATACACTTTGGGGGTCGAACGACCCTTACGCAGGGGTCGCCTAAGACCGTCGGGAAACATTTTTATGAAGTAGAAACGAACATAATTTTTATGATTGGGGGTCGCCACAACATGAGGAACTGTATAATAGTGGGTCGCGACCACGGCATTAAGAAGGTTGAGAAGCATTACTTGCACCATGGACCATAACATAGACTTAGACAATGTTGCAACGTGGGAATTATAAAATGTATGTATTGTAAATACTTAAGTCACTTAAATATTAATAAGTATAAGACAGTAAACAGTGAAGTAAAGCAGAAGTAGGGCAATTTAATTTTAACAAATGTGTGAGAAGTCTTTACTACGACTGCATAATAATATACCGTGTTTATAACTGATCTTAGGTTCTAATTGTGAATGTCTTATTTTTAAAAAGTGGTCAATATAATGTCTAATACTCTAATAGAGTTTTAACTTGACTTTAGCCTTGGTCTTAGCCCCTCCCTAACCTTCACTTTCGGTTTTATAAAGAAGGTTTAGGACTTTTATTTTAGGCGTTTTGTGTCTAGATGGACCCCGCGCATTAAAAAATTTATTTTTTTATAGTTAATTTTTTTCCACATCAAAACTTAGGACCTTAAATATACGAGCCCCCCTGCAATATATTTAAATTTAAGTGTAACAAATTAATAACAACCAACAGTGAGTGACAGCTGTAAGTTTCTTCGCGGGCCGTATAAAGTCGCAGACTGCGTGTGGTACATTTCTGTGACGAACCGCGAATGGTGGCTTTCGGTATATGTCGGGCTTTGTCGTTCTTCTGTGTCCTTTTCTAAAGATAAATAACTTTCAGCCTTAAACTTAAACTCTATTCACTGAAGAATACCGGTCACTCTGACTTCTCTCAGACGAAAGTTGGAAGGCAAAATTTGGATATTGATTGATTGAGTACTTTTATAGCACTCGTCCATGCTATTCTACCTTGCTCACAGCGCTGAGATGTCCTAAAAGCTATTTAAAGAAAAAAGTCAAAATCGACTAAAACTGGGATAGGATGCCACGACGTTTATTAAAGTTGCCGTGAACTAGGGTTCAGATTATGTTTAAGTTTTTAGGCATTTTTTTTAGGGATACAAAATTATATATAATTAATAATATATAATTATAATATATACAATGATACATTCAATTTAAATTTAGGTTAAATTTAGGGGCTAATGACACTAATGTGAAGAGATAGCACCCTGGTTCCGATAGGGTGAAAACCCAGGTCCGGGATAAGTTTTGGGTTCAGGTTAGGTTTAGAGATACATTTAAATTTAGTGGTTCTGGTTAGGTTTAAGGATACAGTTACTTAGATAGATTTAGTGACCAGAATTAACTGGTCTTTTTAACCTAGATGGCGGCCATTGGAAAAAAATCATGGTATCTCATCTGTGAATTTCCCAAAAAGTCTTTATTTAGGCTAAATGGTTCTTAAATGACTTTTTATCATTTTCAATGTCCCTCAAAGATTGAGGCAAACTGTTCCACAATACAGGCGCGCTTGAGTGCAGAATAGTTAATAGTAGTTAATTTTAATTAGTCAATAGCTTCAAAAGAGCGCACTCTGTATGATGTATGACTTTTTTCTGTGTCCATCCACGCAGGTTCTATATTACCGGTATATGGATACATGTTTAGAAATCAGTTTTTGAAGATATACGCCAGAGACAAAATTTGGCTGCAGCTATTCGGACCCGGGTATCAGAAGTGAGAGTTTGGGTTTATTAAAAAATATTGTAGTATTTGTAGTGTATGTAAGACAAAATTTGGTATCAAATGAAAGATGATTGAATGGAGTATAATGACTATATGTTTGTAAACTCACTTCTTCAGTTTAACTAAAATAAACTACCACATATGACATCTGAATAGAATTTAGTCTATAATATAACTTAAGAAAAGGGACCTGGGTACGCATAACCGCATAACCTCTCACTCTAAGGTTGCCAGGGGTCCACTATTTGAGCAGACAGTCCGTATTTCATGTCATCCTGTGTCATCAAAAGAAAATATCAACCAATTCCCCCTTTAGATGACTATTGCTCTAATTAATGGCTTTTATTTTTTTCTACTTCACTCCTTTTGTTCCACCCAATATTTCTATTTAACTGTCTCAGAATAAAAGACTAAACTTAAATACACTGAATTTGTAGCTCCACTATCTCATAATGAGTAGAATTTGATGGTCAAACAAAATTATGCTTTATGCCTTTTATTCCCTAAAATACTTTTATTTTCACTGCATTTGTCTTGGCAGAAAATGCAGCACACCCCTAGATGGACAAAAAATCCTGCCATGGCAGACTCTTCCACCCTTGCACACCTTTTCTACGCCACTGCATGTATAGGATCTTTAGATGGAAAGGATATTACTAATCAAAAGCCTTCCTGATTTGAATTCAAATATTTTAATAATAATAATTTTTGCCTCTCTAGTTTATGTTCATAGCTTTTAAGTCCATAGAAATTTGGTAATAAACTGATCTCATTGTTCTCTTTTAATTCTACTTTACAGTACACTAAACTTTAATAATACTCAGCACACTAGAGGGAGACAACATGATGCTGAGAAATCAAATAAAGAAGATTTAGGCACTTGAGATGGGATTCTTAGCAAGCAAAGAACATTTATTAAAAAGTATATTTATAAATTATTTTTGTTAAGTTTTCCCAAAAATAAAAATTTACAATCACGACTTACAACACATAAAACTTTCACATTTCATATTTTTAATTAATTTTAATTTGATATTGATTATATAATTTATAATTCATTATAAAATTTCTATCAAATACAAAATAAGTACAATGTTGGCCAAGATATGTTGTAATTTAATATTTTTTTATTTACCTTTTTGTAAAAATCATCCAGAACCCATCATCAACTGTCAACATAGATCTTAAAATAGCCAGTTTTATTTCAACAAATTTGTTGTGTGTCAGACTGTTATATCTTTTTACAAAAACTGTTTATAACTTAATCACTTGTTTTAAGATTTCACTAATTATTAATTGTTGCAGTTTACAGCCCTTATCATTGTTTATCTTGCAGGTCCGAGACAAGACTAAACTTTCACTGGAGAGATTAAAGATGGTGGAGGCAGAGAGCGGCTCCCTCATGTTGGAGAATGAATAGCAACGACAGAGGTACAAGAAATGTCTCGATGAGATGGCCAATCAGGTAATCCAGGCCTTGTTGGCTCATAAGGTAGCTATCTTAAAAATGTGGGTTTCTTCACCTCAAATGTAGCTCCACTTGTCGGTTTAATACATTTAATAAAATATATCATCTATTAATTGCTTAAAATATCGATATATTTAAAATTTTCAATTTTTAGTTTAACAAATATAAATTAAACTATTTCATTGTTATTTCAATTTGTATTTAATACAAAAATGAATGAATTGTAATAATCACATAAAAAATCAGGTTATTAACAGAATAGCCTTTAATTATAATAGCTGAAGTTGACTATCCATACTGAACACAAATTTGCACACTGCCTGGTGCACTTCTTGGACATTTTATTTTTCAAGCTATTCAATGAGAGTTACACATCTACTTTAGCTCTTTCTTTACATATATGGAGAGATTGTATTTGCCAAGGCTTTTTCATCTTTCTCTATTTAATTTGACACATTTAAAATTTTGGGAAAATTAACTGATAATTTTTTGGGCAATTAAAACTTATTTGAAGTTATTATTTGTTGGTTATGTATGAATATTTTATTAATTGGACATTTTAAATTTCTGATCATTTAATAAAAAAATAATTTTAAAAGAAAAAGGTGTCAGGAGTCAATGACCTATTTGGCCAATCATTAACTCAACTTTAAGGGAAAAAAATTCTATTTCATTGTACAACTTATTGGGACAAATCTTATAAATCATATGTTTAAAAAAATTTTTGGAGGAAGCACACCACATTGACTGCCTATGAGCACAATCAAATACATTTCAAATAAAAATTCTTGTCAAAAATATGTTTTTTAAGTATAATCTTTTTATTTTCTTCTAATAGTTCATACAAGAAGAAGCTGTGCTTACAAGTCAAGCCTAGATGTATAGATTGATTATATAGCTGAATCGGACTTTTGTCTGAAGGGAAATCTTCTCTGAAATAGACTCTAATCTTAATCATGGACAAGAATGTACCAGGTTAGTTCATCTTACATTTTTAACATATATAAATAGAACATTTTTATATGTATAAATTATATGCTGTTTTTTAAACCTTTATTAATGTTCTGAAATTTTAATTGCTTTTAAATTGTTTTATAGTTTCAACTATAGAATGGACAGATCAACCAGCACCAACCATTGTTAGCTACAACAGCAGATCAGCCAGCACCAACCGTTGTTATCAAGGGATAAAACAACTCACCAGTTGCTGTTAGCTCAGATTTTTTTATTTTGATTACTTAAATAAATCATTTACACTTAAGAAACAATTAACAACAAACTAATCGACATTTAAGAACAAACTAAACGACCTTTAAGAACAAATTAAGCGATCTTTAAGAACAAACTAAACGATCTATAAAAACAAATAAAGTGATCTTTAAAAACAAATAAAACGATCTTTTAAAAAAAAATTAAGCGATCTTTGAGAACAAACTAAACGATATTTAACAACAAACTAAGCGACATTTAAGAACAAACTAAACGATCTTTAAAACTAACTAAGCGATCTTTAAGAACAATCTAAGCAATCTTTAATAAGAAACTAAATGATCTTAAAGAACAAACTTAGTGATTTTTAAGAACAAACTAAATGATCTTTAAGAACAAAACAAATGATCTTTAATAGTAAACTAAATAATTTATAAGAATAAACTAAGCGATCTTTAACAGAAAACTAAATTTTCTTTAGGAACAAACCAACCGATCTTTAAGAACATACAAATCGATCTCAAGGTACAAAATCAATTATCTATAAGAACAAACTAAGCGATCATTATGAAAAAACTAAGCGATCTTCAATAACAAAATAAGCGATCTTTAAGAACAAACTAAACGATTTTTAATAACAAACGAAAAGATATATAAAAACAAACTAAATGATCTTTAAGAACAAACTGAATGATCTTTAAGAACAACTAAGCTATATTTAACAAAATCAATGATCTTTAAGAACAAACCAAGCGATCTTTATGAACAAACTATACGATCTTATAATAACACAAACTTAGCGATCTTTTTGAACAAACTAAATGATCTTTAATAACAAACTAAAAGATCTTTAAACAAAAACTAAAAGATCTTTAAACAAAAACTAAGCCATCTTTAAGAACAAACTAAGCGATCTTAAAAAACAAAAGAAACGATTTTTAACAACCAACTAAGCGATGTTTATGAACAAACTAACCGATCTTTAACAAATAAAGCGATCATTAACAAAAAACTGTCAAAAAATAGTCATAAAATATGAAATTATAGATTTTAAAGGAACCAAACTTTAAATCAATGGCGCAAACTTACTACATATTATCTTTTAAAAGTTTTAATTAATGTTGTGAAAATGTATGGCATTTATAATAGTTCACAATAACAATCAAAGATAGAAAAAAATATTTTTAACAGAGAACTTTAATAAATTAATAGTTTAAACTTTTATGTATCAGTAAAAATTGGAATTAGAATTGGAAAGATCTCCCTAACAATAATGTAAAGAATTTATTAAAA